CAATATAATAAAATTAAATCCCAAAAATTATATATAGTGATACGACTTGGTCACCGCCGGTCGTGGATCCTCTGGCACGTAAAATTTAAATTAAAAAGTACATCGTTGTTATTTTACATTTTGAACTCGTATGCTCTGAAACCTTTCTCAATTCTCACACCTCAATTTTAAGTTTAATGTCATCCTTATTATAACCTCATGCATCTTCAGTCTATTTTCCTTCCTCTTTCATTTTCATAACCTTATCCTCAAGTCAAATTTGCCAACATCGAACTGAGAATTTATATTTTTTTTAAAATTTCCACTACATTCATAGGATTCTTTATTTAGATTGTCTCTTTAACTATCCGGAACCACCATTAATTTGATATAATCAAATTAAACAAACAATTAATTACAAACAACGAAAAGGAACTGTGTGGATGCATGCATGTAGAAAAGAATCATATTTTGGTTTTTATTATCGGCTTTCTAGCTTCCAAACATAAAGATTCTTTTATGTGTAAATTTCACAATCTAAATATATGTAAATTTTATGTTTATCTATTATTTATAATCATTAAATAATTGGAGATCTATTAATATTTGTGAATATTTATAATGAAAAAATAAATATAAATTTTACATATAAATTTGTACATGAGATAATTAATTCTCTAATGGCAGATAATTCCTCTTTAGAAATTAGAAAGAAGGGGTTTTTGACCCATTCCATAAACCCATATTTTAACAACATAAAAGCAAGTGATAGACTAAAGAGATAAGGATAATTTCATCATTATGTTACGAAGGGATAAAGGAAAAACTACTTACCCTATCTCCTAACAAATACGTTCATTCCTATAAGGACTTTACACCTACAAGTAATCTTTTTTATAAATATATTCCTCTCCAACAACATTTTGGGCTTGAAAATTTAGAAGCATTATAGAAATAAAATTGCAAAGAAAACATTCACAAGAGATACATTCGATTCCTTTTGTTTTTATTTTGCGTAAATCTAAGTATCCATTTGGCGGGTTTTTTTTTTTTTTTTTTCCTCTTCTCCTTAAACTTAGCCAAACATACTTTATAAAAGTTTTTATCATTTTTTATAATGAATATAGAAGGAAAAAAATTCAGAAACTTTTGGAAAAGCTTTACCCTGATTGATGTATCATTCGATCTCCTCATCTTCTCCAAAATGCTGAAAACGTCATGGAGAAATAGTAGGGTCATGTGTATTAGTGTGACTTGATGCATCCAAATCTTTTTTAGTACATCTTTTTGGATGTAGCTTTCTTCTAATAAAAAAGTTTTATTCATTCGAGAATCTATTTTTGCATTTAAAATATTCATTTTTAAAATGTTTGTTTTTTTTAATCATATTTGCATTCACCTAAATAATTGAGATTGTCTAATTAAATTTTAATTTAAAAGTAACTTTTGATTTAAAGAAACGTCAAACAGGCTTCAATTGCCTTCTTTCTGAGTCATAGAAGCTTAGATTAAATCGTTTAATTTAAAAAAAGGTCAAACAACCTCTGTAGACATCATTAATTCAATATGCCCTCGCGCATAACATGTTGTAACTGGGTCATCCAATATGGCCAGTAATGTTGAATTTTAATGCTTCGAATTTTGATGGAAAAATCAAATCGATTGTATTTCAAAAATCAAGCGGAATTGTTGACCTCATTGATACCTTAGTCATTCGTATGGTTCAAATTAAGGTAACATGCTAATGTATTTTTTAATTTAAGTCAGATTAACTATTTTTTAACTCACGATGAAGTTAAACCAAATCAAACTAAAAATCTAAAATATTTTGTCAGTAAACTACCAACGATAATCCAAAGACATTAATTAATGATTCATCAACTCGCCCAACCCCCCAAACTAACATGTGGCAGTGGTACCGGGGCGGTTGATCGGGACCATCACTGTTGACATTAATGCTTCGAAATTGATGTAGGTCATGCTGGCAAAAGTTAATTAAATGAAAGTTGCATTTGATTCATATTTTATGCACAATACACATAAAATACTACACAATGAGGAGATCATCTTCTACACGGCAGTCGAACGTACATCTGCAATTAAAAAAAATTAAAAAAATGACAAGTGAATTAAAATTATTTTTTTTCTTTTCTACATACGGATAACACAATTTATTGCTCCATTTCATTGGCTGGTTGCATGGAGTGTATTGTTTTTTTACAAGCTCATTCAACGGGACCCAAAATCACTGTAGCTGAAGGGGCCGACGACTAAATAAGAGCAACGTGAACATACAGGGTGCGTTTATATTGACTTTTTAAAAAAGTCTTTTTTATCATTTCCTTATTTTAAAAGTACTTTATAAAAAAGTTATAGCTATTTAAATTTTTTTAAAAATATTTGATTTGTGAAAAATATATTTGACTTTTGACTTCTGCTTTTTTTAAAAGCTAAAATTTTTAGCTTCTGGAAAAAGTAGATTTTTGACTTTTTTTATGACTTATGTTTTTTTTAAAGCAGACATCCAAACAGACTTTTTTCGATAAGTGATTTTTTTTCTTAAAAAAAACAACTTTTGAAGAAAAAAAGTTCATCCAAACGGGCTTATAGTACGTATCATAATATTGGACACACATGTTCATTTTTCTTTTTTCTCATTTTTTTTAGAATTAGTGTTTGTTTTTTTAAAGAATTTTTTTTTTGTCATTTTAATTAAAATTATAGTATTTTTTTTAGTTATGTTTATCTCATTTTATATGAGATAAACAACTTTTCTACACACAAAAAGGAGTTGGGTCCCACCACTCTTTTTTCTCTCCTCTTATCTGTGTGGGTCTCACTTATACTTTTATTTCTAAACATACGATAATTTTTTCCTAAAACATAAGAAAAATATATCCTTTTTTTTTTTAAACAAAATTATAGTATTTTATGGTGAGATTACATAATAAAAATTATGGTGGGAGAAAGTTGAATTTTTTTTAATTTAAATATTAAATAAAAAATAATCATTTTAACTAAAAGGATAATTTTTTTTTTTCTTTTACTGTCAAAATTAAACACGAGAATTTTTCAAACCTGATTACGTTATATTCCTAGGAAATACAAACTAAAAAACCTGATAAGTAAACAAACAAAAATCAACTTAGAACACATGGGACTGGGGAAGGCAAAGTTGCATGTCGTCAAGAAAAAATTATATCAAACTCACCAAATAATTAACAATTTTTATTTACAAATCAAGTTTTATATAAAACTTACGTCACATGAATGAATTATTCATAACTTTTATATATGTATATTGAAAATTTTATACAAATATTTTTCTACAACAAGTTCTAAAGAAAGTATGCTCTTGTTTTATACTTGCAAACTAAATTAATTGGTTTTTACTCAATAAATATGTTGAAGGTTTTAAATTAATTTAGTACGTTCAAATTCTTTGATTAACAACTAAATTAGGACTAAGTAGTGTCGAAAATGAAACTATTGATGAGGTAAAGCGAGAAGGACATTAACCTAATTTATATTCAAGTGAACAATTTAATTAATACGCGAGCTATAGGATATGCAATGAGTTAATATTTAGATTTTTTTTATTTACGTATTTTAATAAGACGTTGCGATTGCCGTTTTATATATCATTATAGTTTTTCGATGAACTTGTTACTGTAAAACTTTCAACATAAGCACAATAATAACATTAATATGTTGAATTAAAGTTTTTATAAAAAAATATTACCAAAAAAAAAGTTTTCATAAAAACAAATGTAAGGATTTATAATTTGATTTAACCTTATAAAAGGCTTTGGGCATACAATAAGTATTCTTGATATAATACGTATACAAGAAGGAATTTTCAAGAAATTCTCGTGCTTCTTTATTAATAATTTTTCATTAAATAAATTGAGTAATAAAAAAAAACAAATTAACACATGTGCTGTCCCGAATGAATATGTTGACGTGAAAATGGAATTTTTAACATATTGCTTGCTTTAAGGTTGACGTGGACACAAAATCACATCAAACTTTACTAATAGTGCTTCCGGCTTCCAATTTGTTAAAGGGTTAATTTAATCTTATGTTCAAGGAGAAATCTTCTCTCATGTTGTGACACATATATATGTGATGAGACCCGTCATTTAAAGAAAAAATAAATAAATGTCACAATTTTTGATGAGTGTGTAGGAGATAAAACTGTTCTTATGCAACATAAGAGTAGTTTTCCCTTTGTCAAAAAAAAAAAAAATTATGAAAAATGTTAACAATATTTTTTATTTCTTTTATTATGAAATAAAAATTTACGTCGAAAGTAAATTTAAGTTATTTAATAAAATTAGCAAAAAAATTTATTAAATAAATAAAATATTAAATAAAAAGTTTCAATTAGTTTTTTGAGCATATCATGAGCATACTTGATCTAACAAATTATATTAGAGATAAAGTTGCCATTTGCATTCCAAAAACAAAAAGCAACATACAATTGATTTGAATTTTCAAAGAAAAGCATGTCACACGAGAGTAATTTGTTTAACATATTGCTGTGATGTTAACCTGGCACACCAAGTCGAATCAAACCTTTTTTTTTTTTTTTTAAGCAAGTCGAATCAAACTTTACTATAGTATTTTTGCGTCAAAATTATCAAAAATATGAAGAATTTTTATTTATATATATTTTATCATTAAATAAAATTTTACGTTGAAAAATAAATTCAAAATTATAAAAAAAATTATTTAGCAACATAAAATTTTAAATAAAAAGTATCAAATAGTTTGTTTGTCATTAAAATATTGCTATTATTAGCCAAGATTCATAGGTCATTAGTTAACTAATAAATATAGAAAAAAAATCCGTTTACAATTTTTTTTTTGACAAATTTACAAATTACATTATGTATGTCACTCGTATATAATATAGTGTGTAAGATTTTATAAATAAAGAATTTATAAAATATAATTTCCCCCATAAATATACATATTAAATCCCTATTATAGTAAAAACTGTTCTTCTCAGGGCACAATCAATGCTTTATATGTGTGAGAATTTTCTTTTCGTTCTGTGGGACGTAGACCGATGGAGGATAACACTCACCCTCTTCTCACACCACTAGACCGCCAACATGACCACCGTAACCCGCCACCAGCAACAGCTGTATTCACAGTCGAATCCGATGAAATCCCTCCGATCACCGGCGCCGGAGACTTTGCAAGAGAGTTCCTCACAGAGTCAAAAAAGCTCTGGTACCTAGCCGGACCCGCCATCTTCACCTCCATCTCCCAGTACTCCCTCGGCGCCATAACTCAGGTCTTCGCCGGCCACATCGGCACCCTCGAACTCGCCGCGGTCTCCGTCGAGAACTCGGTCATCGCCGGCTTCTGCTTAGGCGTCACGGTAAGCTCAAACTCACGTACAAGAGAAAGAAATCAATTTTTTTTTATTAATCAATCAATAAATCAAAAGATCACGTCTAGGAGCTGTTAGTCTAGTGTTGTGTTGAATCAGTTAGCCTCTAGGATTTAGCTCGTTCAATTAATAATTTTTGGAACCGACAAAGAGGCTCAAACTCGAAACCAGATTAATCTAAACATCACGTTCAAGAGTTGTTAGACCATTGGATTTGATTTGTCCGAGGGGAGAGATTCAAATTTGAAACCAAATTAATAGGTTGAGTTAGTACTTTGGAGGGTAAAAGAACTATCTCAACCCAAAACCTTAAGGTGTTAGGTGAGGTTCTTAATGAATTATATTATTCTCTAACACACCTTTCACAGCCTTTTGGAGCTTGAAGTCTGAATATTGCATAAGCCTAATTTTTAGTTTACTTTCTTTTGTATTTTTTTTATTTAATTCCACAAGTGTGGGACGGTGAGGATCGAACTCGTGACCTTATGATCACAAGCTCTGATATCATATAAAGAACCATCTCAACCCAACCCAAGACAAGACAAGGTGTTAGGTGAGGTTCTTAACGGAGTGAAAAAAATAAATTTTAATCACATATTCGATTCATGTTATTATTATTATTATTATTTTATTTTAAATTTCTTGGTTTGAATGCAGTTTGGGATGGGAAGCGCGTTGGAAACGCTATGTGGTCAAGCGTTTGGAGCAGGGCAACTAAAAATGCTTGGAATATACATGCAAAGATCATGGGTGATTCTAAACGTCACCGCTTTGCTTCTGAGTCTTCTATACATCTTCGCGGAGCCGCTTCTGAAGCTGATAGGGCAAACGGCGGCGATATCGGAGGCGGCGGGGGTGTTGGCACTGTGGATGCTGCCGCAGTTGTTTGCGTACGCGATGAACTATCCCATACAGAAGTTCTTGCAAGCACAGAGCAGGATCATGGCGATGGCGTGGATAGCGTTGGCGGCGTTGGTGCTGCACACGGTGTTCAGCTGGTTGCTCATGCTGAAGCTAGGGTGGGGATTGGTGGGTGCTGCGGTGGTGCTCAACTCGTCGTGGTGGTTCATAGTGGTGGCTCAGCTTGTTTATATACTGAGTGGGACATGTGGTGAAGCCTGGACTGGATTTTCCTTCCAAGCCTTTCAGAATCTTTGGGGTTTCGTTCGTCTCTCACTTGCTTCTGCTGTTATGCTATGGTGATCATATTTTTTATTTTTTATTTTTTATATATTCATCATTAATTTTATTAATTTATCAAGGGAAAAAGAAGTATTCTTTTTAAATGACATAAGTTTGTGTCCTTTAAGGTGTTTTACACAGTATGATCAGTAATATTTTATGTAAATTTGAAAAGTTATTTTTTTTTTCTCTCTATCTAGTCACATCGCTGACGCTGACGTGTAAAGTGAAAAAAACAACTTTTTAGATCTACACAAAATATGATCGGTCATACTTTGTGTAAGACATAACTTGTATCCTTTTAAATCACACACACTATATCCATTTATCAATTATTCAATTAGTTCACTCGAGATTATTTATAGTAGTCTTGGTACACTTACTTCTTCCATTGAAGAGCTGCCACTTAGAGAAAAAAACAAAATTTCTCTCTCTTCCATGTAAGCAAGTCAGAAAATACTAATTTTTTGTTAACTTGGACTACTGAATCATAGATAGCATGGACCATATTAAATATTTTCAGAGCACCGTGGAATCTTTTGAGATCTCTAATTAAGTAGAAAAATTTTCTTACTTGAAGCAATATTTATTTATTTATTTTCACTTTTATTGTGTCGCCTTGCTTTTCACGTGTACAACTAATAATTTTTTTTTTTTTTTTTTATAATTTTGTTTGACCAAGAGTTTATTTTAAATGCTGTGCAGCCTTGAAGTGTGGTATTTTATGGCTTTGATTCTCTTCGCTGGATATTTAAAGAATGCAGAAGTTTCAGTCGATGCTTTGTCTATATGGTGAGTCACTCTGACTGTGTGTTGATTGATCTTGGTGATTCGTGGCGAAAACCATTAATTACTGCATGTTTGCACCACCAGTTTAATTTAATAATGTTATGGGTCGTGATGTAGAAAGTTCGAGCGTGCCGAAGCGCTTAGAGTCTCTAGCTCTATTTGGCCATCACTTGAAATTTGTGTGGCATTGTGTTATCTACACGTCAAATTTATGCATTAATTTTAGATAGGTGATCATGCAAATCATATGGATGAATAGGGTCCATTATGCAATGAGTAATGACTACTATTCACCATTTATTTGTATAAGGATCATCAATTCTAAAAGTTCTATAAACGACAAATTTTACAAAAGAAATTATAGGGATAGGTAGAGCTTCTACAAATTTTTATGTACACTACTTTTATTATATTATGTCTTTGTATAAAAACTATCCACTTACTATTCAAGATTTAATAACTCACCTACCCAATTTTTTTTTTTAATAAGACTCTTAAAAGAAAGTTTCAAGCAAAACTAACTTTTCAAATATTTACTATCTTTTTTATCGCAATATATCAAACCGAATGGTCTTCTTTACACACCAATATTTTCATTCCATTGTTACATTTTTTTTAATTTTAAAATCGAACTTAAAAAATGCGTATTAGAATATAAAAAATATAAGAATGATATGAAATTCTTACACTCATTATTAAAACCATTTTGTTTTATTTTCATATAACTATTTTTTTTGGTGAGCTGCATATAACTATTTTAATTTGTTAGAGATAAGAGTTAGAGATAAGAGTTCATGTGAACCATTAAATATAAGTAAAGTAAATGATTAATATTATATATAAGGTTTAAAATTTACGGTTATATAAATTAATCTCTCCCATAAATATATATACTTATATATTCTTTATATTATTTACCGTTTAACACCTTGTCAATTATTATTGTCCCCTTTATATCTACATTTATCAAATGGTAAAAAGTAAAAGTTTTATACTCGATCTTAATTATTCATCTACTTATATTTAACGATTTATAAATTTAATAAATTAAAATATTTAAATATCTATGATCGAGAGTTTAATTTATTCTTGTGTAAAATAATCTGGCTTTTGCATATATTTCTAAGTTCTGGACCCAATCGAAAAGCTCCTACTTCAGAATTTTCCATGTGCTGGCCATTCCAAGTTCTGGACCCAATCGAAAAGTTAGTGCTCCAGTCTTTTCCAAGTACTGGACCCAATCGTAAAGTTCCAGATCCAGACTTTTTTTATACAAAAGTTTCATTTCAAATCGTGGTTTCCTCTTTTTTGGTTGACTTACCCTGCTCCCACTTTCATCTTGGAAGGCCAACATTTTTACTTTAGTTCCCCGAAAACAATCATTTTATTAAGTTTCATATAAATTTGTTTTGAATATTTTTTCTACATTTTATTGATAGAAAATATGTTATTCATGTTGCATATAAAAAGTGGGTGAGACTTAATTTTTTTTTCCTCTCTCTCTTTTAGTGGGTCTCATCCACTATTTTGTGTGTTGTACGAGACAAAATTATTTTATAAAACATGAAGAACACATGCTAAAAAAACCAATTACTGTGTAAAACTTATAGTAGTATGACCGAAACTGGTTCAGTAGGAGAAAGTTTATATTATAGTTGCAAAAACAGAGTCCAGCTGCTTTGAGTTTAATAATATTGCCAAATTCTACCATTGATCCAATTCGCGTCCTCTCTTATTTTAATTTGATAAAAAAAAAACATGTGCCTCATCTTGTGGTATTGAATTTGCAGCACAAACATATTGGGGTGGACTATCATGGTATCCTTTGGAATGAACGCAGCCGTAAGGTTTGTTATTGTTACACTCACCTTCATTTGAAAAAGCTTATACCCTTCATTTAACTTAATTTGAGTCGTAAAATTATGCAGCGTGAGAGTGTCAAATGAATTGGGAGCAAGTCACCCAAGAACGGCAAAATTTTCACTTGTGGTTGCTGTGATTACTTCGTTTGTGCTTGGTCTCTTAATGTCGCTGGTTCTAATCATCTTCAGGAAGCAGTACCCTTCCTTGTTTTCAAATGATTCAGAAGTGAAAGAGCTTGTTGTGGAGCTAACACCCATGTTGGCCTTTTGCATTGTCATCAATAACGTGCAACCTGTTCTTTCAGGGGTTGCCATTGGTGCAGGATGGCAAACTGTTGTTGCTTACGTAAATGTTGCTTGTTACTATCTTTTTGGTATTCCTCTTGGGCTTATTTTGGGGTACAAGCTTGACATGGGTGTCATGGTGAGTTATTTTTCTTCCATTATTTACTTTTTCATTTGTTTTTCGTTCCTAATTAAGGTAACTCAAATTTTATTTTACATTGACAGAAGCCAAACGAAAAAGTAAAAAGCAGGAGTAGGGGACACATAAAAAAGTGCATCATGTATTTTAGAAACTAGAAAACAGCCAACATTGACACATGACTAAATTCATATCATCGAGCTTTAACCTTTTGCATTGTGGCCCACTTTAAGTTGTGGAAAAAAAAAGTAGACGTGTAATTGAAATGATTTAAATAAGAAAGGAAGGAAGATAAAACAGAGAGACTTAATAATATTTTCTTGTGTACATTTACGTGATATGATATGTTATAATACAAAAGAAAAACACTAATGCTTATTTACAGAAATATTATCATTATTAAATAAGGAAATAAATAATAAAATATGAGAAAAATAAAAATTGAAAGTGATAACTGATGGATTAATAATTTTTATGATGGATGATTTTCAGGGGATATGGTCTGGAATGCTGTCAGGGACCATCCTACAAACTTGTGTTCTATTCTTCATGGTCTATAAGACTGACTGGAATAAAGAGGTATGATATTTTTTTAGTGTATACTATGAATTGTTTGCAAAACAAAGCAAATTTGGTGATATGATTAAGGGTGTATGTTATAAATCTAGCTAGTATATATGTTCATTAAAGGATAACTTTGTGTGTAAATGGCAGGCATCCCTTGCGGAAGATAGGATAAAGACATGGGGTGGGCATAAAGATTCAAATTTGAACGATAATGGGAAGAATGATCGAGAAACATGAAATTACTGCAAATTCTAGCAGTAGATTTGTACCAATTTGTTTTCAATTGAAGAAGAGAATATGGAATCTTTAAATCTAAAAGATTCAATTTTTTCTCAAGTTAATCCTTCTTCTGTTTTTTTCTTCTTCTTCTTCTATTAGAAGACAATGATCACAAAATAAAAGATGAAGAAAATAATGTTTGAATGTTGTCATTCACCATATGTCAACTGTACAATGATATTTATACAAGAAAAGCTAACAAAAAAACATAACATAATTGTAAATGATAATAAAATGGTGTGATGTGTGAGATTTATGAAAGCTATTATAACTAACTAATTATTTACAAAGGGCATACACTAATATTTCCCCTCCAGATGGAGACTGAATATTATGCACTCCTATGTTAGAAAGAAATGGAAAAATCTATGAAGAACAAAGGGCCTTGATAAAGATGTCTGCAAGCTGATTTGATGATAAAACGGAATGTTTGAAGACAGCCTCTTGCAATGTATTCTCGGATCAGGTGACAATCGATTTCAATGTGTTTGGTTCATTCATGAAAGACCAAATTAGCTTCAATGTGTAGGACAACCTTGTCATCACGGAATAAATGTGCATGACCAGGATGTTTGACATGTAAGTCATGCAGTAAGGAGAAAAGCCAAATCAATTCACAAGTAACATTAGCCATTGACCTATATTTTGCTTTAGCTGAGGACCTAGAGACTGTGGATTGATTTTTGGATTTCCAGCTGATCAAAGAATTGCCCAAGAAAACACAAAAGCCATAAATGAATATACGACTATGTAACGTCTGGCCGCTTCAAGAATCAATGACTATCCCCACATACTAACATGAGACTTTTCAGTGTACTTTTTCCTCACTCGCACACTTCCTGGGAAAACTTCCCAGGAGGTCACCCATCCAAAATTGCCCCAAGTCAAGCACGATTAACTATGGAGTTCTTCCGTTCCGGGCTACCGAAAAGTAGATGCATCTTGTTAGTATAGGTAGTACCAATTAATTCTTATAAGTTATCCCAAACTGTGCAGTCTCATACCTGCACAGTCTTTGGATTCCCTCTCTTTAGGTTGTCGATTCGATTCATTCATGCATGTAACCCCTCGCTGGAAGCCTGTCAGGAGCCGCTCCTTGTCTATGCCCTTTCGCACCGGCGATCACTCCCCGTCCTCGTCAGCGCTCGGGATGTTACACGCCCACCAGCTTCCGCCTGGTTCGTCCTCGAACCACACCGTACTGGGAGAGAGGCCCTGCTCTGATACCACTTGTGGCGCCTGGCCGCTTCAAGAATCAATGACTATCCCCACATACTAACACGAGACTTTTCACTGTGCTTTTTCCCAGGAAGTGTGCGAGTGAGGAAAAAGCACACTGAAAAGTCTCGTGTTAGTATGTGGGGATAGTTATTGATTCTTGAAGCGATCAGGCGTCACAAGTGGTATCAGAGCAGGGCCTCTCTCCCAGTACGGTGTGGTTCGAGGATGAACCAGGCAGAAGCTGGTGGGCATGTAACATCCCGAGCGCTGACGAGGACGGGGAGTGATCGCCGGTGCGAAAGGGCATGGACAAGGAGCGGCTCCTGACAGGCTTCCAGCGAAGGGTTACATGCATGAATGAATCGAATCGACACCCGAAAAAGAGGGAATTTAAAAACTGTGCAGGTATGAGACTGCACAGTTTGGGATAACTTATAAGAATTAATTGGTACTACCTATACTAATAAGATGCATCTACTTTTCGGTAGCCCGGAACGGAAGAACTCCGTAGTTAATCGTGCTTGACTTGGGGAAATTCTGGGATGGGTGACCTTCTGGGAAGTTTTCCCAGGAAGTGTGCGAGTGAGGAAAAAGCACACTGAAAAGTCTCATGTTAGTATGTGGGGATAGTCATTGATTCTTGAAGCGGCCAGACGTTTCAAGTGGTATCAGAGCAGGGCCTCTCTTCCAGTACGGTGTGGTTCGAGGACGAACCAGGCGAAAGCTGATGGGTATGTAACATCTCGGGCGCTGACGAGGGCAGGGAGTGATTGCTAGTGCGAAAGGGCATGGACAAGGAGCGGCTCCTGGCAGGCTTCGAGCGACGGGGGTACATGAATGAATCGAATCAACACCCGAAATAGAGGGATTCCAGAGACTGTGCTGGTATGGGACGGTACAGTTGGGAATAGCTTATAAGAATTAATTGGTACTACCTATACTAACAAGATGCATCTGCTTTTCGGTAGCCCGGATCGGAAGAACTCCACAGTTAAGCGTGCTTGACTTGGAGCAATTCTGGGATAGGTGACCTCTTGGGAAGTTTTCCGGAGAAGTGTGCGAGTGAGGAAAAAGCACACTGAAAAGTCTCGTGTTAGTATGTGGGGATAGTCATTGATTCTTGAAGCGGTCGGGCGATACAGACTATATATCAGGACATGATCTAAATTGGAAAAGGTATTTGAGTTGAGAGGAAGAACTAGACGATAGGAGTAAACCTTGATAGGAGTAAACCTTGACCATCATTAGTATCCAAGAATTCTGTAAATAGCCTGCAAATGGGGAACTCTAGAAGCAGAAAAGAATTGACTAAGGTGATTAACAACATAACAAATGTTAAGCCTTATGATAGTTAAGTAAAGCAACTGACCAATTAGTCTTCTATATTGGCTGGAATCTTGAATAAGTTCATCTTCATGCATAAGGAGTTTGAGATTCGGTTCCATTGGTGTGGTCTTGGGTTTGCAGCCAAGATAACCAACATCAAATAGAATTTACAGCGTGTATTGCCTTCGACAGATAGAAATACCTTGAGATGAAAGAGTAACTTTAAGGTTTAAGAAGTAATTCAGTGAACCAAGGTTCTTCAACTTGAAATTTTTGTCCAAAAAGGTAGTGAGATGTTGTATCTAAGTAATATTATTAAAGGCTATAATAATATCATCAATGTACACCAATATAGCCATAAACAATCATTACAACAATTAACAAACAAGGAGTTGTCAGAATGAGATTGTTTGAAACCAAGAGACAATAAGGTCGAAAAAAACTTGGCAAACCACTATTTAAAAAGGTCTATTTCATACCAAAGAGGAATTTGTGGAGCTTGCAAACAACATTATGTGGTAGCAATAGCTCCCTATGTTTAGGATAACTAGAAGGCAAAACCATGCAGACTTCTTTGGATAGTTCACCATGCGAAAATGCATTATTGATATCAAATTGAATGAGATGCCAATGATTGATGGCAGCAAGAGCAGGTAATTTTAGCTACTAGAGAAAAAGTTTCCATGAAATAAAGTCCTTCTTGTTGAGTGAAGCCTTTAGCAACCAATTGAGCTTTGTACCTTTCAAGAGGTCCATCAGAATTATATTTGACCCAATATACCCACTTACAATCAATAGGATTTTTGACAGGTAGAAGAGAGATGTAACATTCTTTTATTATTAACTAAGGAATGTTACTTACGTATTTTGAACTCTAATTATATACATATACTTGTTAATTTTGAATATCAGATGATGTTGAATCAAAACTTTGTGTCATTATTATAGATGCGTATACAAGGCATGAGCTGTACAAATGGATAGAAACAAATAAAAACAAAGTTGTTACAAATACGCTACTGTTACATAATAAATACAAATATTTGAAATTGATTCAAAATATTTGAAACTGAATCGAATACAAATATTTGAAACTAAAGCAAATATTCTTATACTTATCTTGTCCTCTAATACTCCCCCTCAAGTTGGAGCATGGAAGGAGGATATCTCCAACTTGCCAAATAGAAAATGAAACTCCTTACGCCCCAATCCCTTTGTGAGAATATCGGCTGGCTGCATCGCAGATCGAATGTAAGCCATACAAATAGTCTTGGCCATAAGATGTTCGCGAATGAAATGACAATCCAACTCTATATGTTTAGTGTAGTCATGAAAGACAAGATTGGTAGCAATATGTAGAGCCGCTTGAATATCACAAAAAAATTGCATAGGTTGAGAATAAGAGATACCAAGAGAGGCAAGGAATGATTTAATCCAAAGAAGTTCAAAAGTAGTGGTGGCCATTGAGAGATATTCCGCTTCTGCCGAAGAGCAAGAGACAGTGGCCTACTTTTTAGTTTTCCAGGAGATAGGAGAATACCCAAGTTTGATAAAATACTCAGTAAGAGAACATCGCCCAATCTAAATCACAATAGGTATAAAACTGCAGTTTATTTTCCACTGGCAGCATGAGACCTTGTCCTGTGCTAGATTTTAAATACGTAGAGCAGGCATAACTAGGGGTGTACATGGGCCAGGCTGGGCTGGTCTTTGGCCTTCCTGGCCTAAGCCTATGTAAAAAAATATTCAGCCTATCTGGCCTATTGACCTACTAAAGGCTTTATTTATAGGCTAAGCCTGACCTATTTTTAAAAATTAGAGAGCCTTATATGGCCTACAGGCCTTGTAGGCCTCCCTAGTGAAGTATTTTTAAAAATATTTTTAACAATTTTTAAAATATTCGCTTGACATTACAAGTCATTAACGTGTTCATAAATTGCTGCATTTTTTTACACGAGATATAAATTTCACTAGTGAGCATTAAAATTTTTACAATAGTAAAAAAATAACTATAAAAATATATTGAGCAAAGTTTCATTCATGCATGCACTAGTACTTCTCATAATTCGTAAAAAATGACAAACAAGAAAGAGTCAACATAATACCCCAGCTCTATAATGTATATCATATACCCTAAAATAAATATTTTATTTTATTTTATTTTAAAAAATTAAATAGGCTAGTCTACAAGGCTTTTAGGCCAGGCTTGACAAAATTGACCTATGACCTACTTGTTAAAAGGCTTTCTTATAAGCCTAAGCCTACTCTACTTTTCAACGTAAGCCGAGCTAGGCCAGGCTCAACATAGGCCGGGTTGTAAGCTAGGTGAGGCCAGTCTGACCCATTTACACCCCTAAGCATAACTGCATCAAAATGTTGTTGTTTAGGAGCTTGCATAAACTGAGACAAAGTATGAACCACATAGCATAGTTCAAGGCATGTTTGTGTTTTGTCGTGTTAACCTACTTAATAAATATGACACATTGAGTTTGACAAGTTATTTGTGATATGTCCAGTCAACTCACAAAATGAGCAAGTCGTGTTCGTATTAAAGATTTTC